AAAAAAAAAAAAAAAATCATGATCCGGAAGAAACTGGTTTGCATGTTAGTTCAGTCATTCAGCATTGACTGAGCCCCTCTGTGCCAGACCCTGTGCTGGGTGGTGCTGGGGACACAGAGGTGACCACAGTAGCCTGGGCCCTGCCTCCCGGGGCTCCCAGTCCAGTGGAGGAGACAGGCCTGTCCCCAGACAGTGACAACCCAGAGTGGGCAGAGCTGGGAGCAGAGGGAGCCCAGGGAGTTCCCAGGGGGCTCCTACCCAGCCTGAGGAGGTAAGGGAGGGCTTCCTGGAGGAGGTATGGGAGCTGAGACCTGGAGGATGAGGAGGAGCAGGGCTGGCAGAGCGGAGAGGAGATTTTGTGGAGGCGAGAGAGAGCGTGGTGAGTTACGAGTGATCAGTCTCATAGGGCTTGTCTCTGCAGCCTGTACTGGAGGACCCCCTACTGGAGAAGCTCCTGCTGGACTCCAGGACAGAGTCCATGGACCTGAAGGTCCCCTGAGTCAGTGGCTGGGTCTTTTGGGTGCTTGTCATTTGGGTGGAGCTACATTTCTTTCTCGTCACTGTCACACTGTATCTCTGGGGATCTCTCTTTTTAAGGGCCAGTCGTCTTAATGATTGAGGCCATTCTCACACAGAGTCAGGGGCTCTCCTGGGGCAGTGGGTGCGGGAGAAGGCTGCAGCCGTATCATCACCAGGCTCCGTACCTCAGGTGTAGCCCAGGTGTGGCCAGCCTCCTTCGCTGGGCGTACATGTCCTAGTTTCCTGTCTCTGGCCAGTCTCTTTTTCCTGCTTTCTTTCCATCCTGGAGATGGAGTGGTGCAGTAGGCGGCTTCAGGTGACCACCTGTGGTTCTAAACTTCTTCAGGAACAAGAGAAAGATGGGGAGGAGCGAGACAGCAAGGAGAGCAGCCAGCAGAGAAAGCGGAAGAAGCGGCCCCCACCCAAGGGGCTGTTCATCCCTCCTCCACCCTCCACGGCTGGGGAGCCCGGCCCTGCAGGATGCCACCAGAGTCGCCTGCGGTCGCCCATGTTCCTGGTGGACCGCCTCCTGAAGGGCTTATTCCAGTGCTCCCCCTACACACCGCCCCCAATGCTCAGTCCCATCCGGGAGGGCTCTGGAGTGTACTTCAACACCCTCTGTTCCACATCCACTCAGGCCAGCCCTGACCAGCTCATCAGCTCCATGCTTGGTGAGTGAGTGAGGCTGGGGCACTCACTCTGTGATCCCAGGGTGGATTGCCTGCGGATCATGGCCACTCTCCCTTGTAGCATTGGGTTCAGTGATTGTCTCCTGCCTGGGTGTACCTAGTCTGAGGGTTCCTTTGCTATTCAGATGTGCCCCAGAACTAAGCTAAGTGCCTTCTAGTGCATAGAATTTTACAGCCCGAAAGAAAACATAGAGGCCATTTATCTTACTGTGCTTCCTCCTGCGCTTCTGTGTCATTATCATTTTCTATTTTGAGGCAGGGTCTTGCTCTGTCACCCAGGCTGGAGTGCAGTGGCTCGATCACGGCTCGATCACAGCTCGATACTGCAGCCTTGATCTCCTGGTCTCAAGCGATCCTCCAGCCTCAGACTCCCAAATAGTTGGGACTACAGATGCACATCACCACACCTGGCCAATGTTTTAGCTTTCGTAGAGATGGGATCTTGCTATGCTGTCCAGGCTGGTCTCGAGTTCCTGGACTCATGTGATTTTGTTGCCTTGACCTCCCAAAGTACTGGCATTAAATGTGTGAGCCACCCTGTCTAGCCTGTGTCATTTCCTTTTTTTTTTTTTTGAGACAGAGTATCACTCTGTCACCCAGGCTAGAGTGCAGTGGTGCAATCTTGGCTCACTGCAACTTCCAACTCCCAGGTTCAAGCAATTCCTGCCTCAGCCTCCCAAGTAGCTGGGACTACAGGCATGTGCCATCATGCCTGGGTAATTTTTGTATTTTTAGTAGAGATGGGGTTTCACCATGTTACCAGGCTAGTCTCGAACTCCTGACCTCCAGTAATCTACCCTCCTCAGCCTCCCAAAGTGCTGGGATTACAGGCGTGAGCCACTGCGCCTGGCCTGGCCTGGCCTATGTAATTTTCCTAACAGCTTTATTGAGCTATACTACACATGCCATGCAAATCACCCATTTAGAGTATGCAGTGTTTTTTAGGATATTCACAAGGCCGTGCACCCATCACACAGTCTAATTTTAGAGCACGCTTCGCATCCTCAGAAGAAGCCGGAGCTCATTAGCAGTGACTCCGCCCGTATCCCCACAGTCCCTTCTTCCCCCAGCCTAGGCACCCACTCATCTGCCTTCTCTCTTTGGATTTGCCTATTTGGGACATTTCATGTAAGTAGAATCATACAATATGCAGCCTTTTGTGTCTAGTTTATTTCACTTGGCGTGTTTTCAGAGTCCCTTCATATTGTAGTGCATATCAGTGCTCAATTCCTTTTTATGGCTGAACATTTTTCCCTTGTACAGATGGGCCCCATTTTATTTATTCATCAGTTGATGGACATTTGGGTTGTTTCCACTTTGGGCTATTATGAATAATGCTGCCATAAACATTCATGTAGAAATTTTTTGGGTTTTTTTGGGAGACAGGGCCCCCCCAAGCTGGAGTGCAGTGGTGTGATCACAGCTCACTGCAGCTTCAACCTCCTGGGCTCAACTGATCCTTCTGCTTCGGCCTCCAGAGTAGCTGGGCCTACAGGCGTGTGCCCCCGTGCCCAGCTAATTTTTCGTAATTGTTTTTATGTAGGGAGGTGGGTCTTGCCATGTTGCCCAGACCGGTCTCAAACTCTGGGGTGGGCCAGGCATGGTGGCTCATGCCTGTAATCCTAGCACTTCGGGAGGCTGGGGCAGGTGGATCACCTAAGATCAGGAGTTTGAGACCAGGCTGGCCAACATGGTGAAACCTCGTCTCTACTGAAAATATAAAGATTAGCTGAGCATGGTGGCGGGTGCCTATAATCCCGGCTACTCGGGAGGCAGGAGAATCGCTTGAACTCAGGGCGGAATGTTGGGAACAGGCCCCCAAAAATCTGGCCATAAACTGACCCCAAAACTGGCTATAAACAAAATCTCTGCAGCACTGTGACATGTTCATGATGGCCTGACGCCCACGCTGGAAGGTTGTGGGTTTACCGGAAAGACGGCAAGGAACACCTGGCCCACCCAGGGCGGAAAACCACTTAAAGGCGTTCTTAAACCACAAACAATAGCATGAGTGATCTGTGCCTTAAGGACATGCACCTGCAGCAGATAACTAGCCAGACCCATCCCTTTATTTCAGCCCATCCGTTTGTTTCCAGTAAGGAATACTTTTAGTTAATCTATAATCCATAGAAACAATGCTTATCACTGGCTTGCTGTCAATAAATATATGGGTAAATCTCTGTTCAGGGCTCTCAGCTCTGAAGGCTGTGAGACCCCTGATTTCCCTCTCCACACCTCTATATTTCTGTGTGTGTCTTTAATTCCTCTAGCGCCGCTGGGTTAGGGTCTCCCGGACCGAGCTGGTCTCGGCAGCGGAGGATGCAGTGAGCCGAGACCGTGCCATTTCACTTCAGCCTGGGCAAAAGAGTGAAACTTGGTCTCAAAAAAAAAAAAAAGGCCGGGCTCAGTGGCTCAAGCCTGTAATCCCAGCACTTTGGGAGGCCAAGACGGGCAGATCACAAGGTCAGGAGATGGAGACTATCCTGGCTAACACGGTGAAACCCCATCTCTACTAAAAAAATACAAAAAAACTAGCTGGGCGAGGTGGCGGTCGCCTGTAGTCCCGGCTACTCGGGAGGCTGAGGCAGGAGAAT